ACCTTCCAGAAAGTGGTCGCTTTTCTGTTCAGAGAGTTGTTGCTATTCCTTTCTTCGATCTCCTGTTGAGTTTGTAGGTGTTCAGAATGGTTTGATCCCTTTCCAGCTGAATTCCTGAGAGGAGACGAAATCCAGGTCTCCTACTCCTCCACCATCTTGCTCCGCCCCCCTGTCTTTTAACTTTTTTAAAGTAACGATCTGCTAGTTACTTATACTATATATTATGTATATTGTATTTTATATGACATAAAACTTATATAGTCACATACCAAATAATTAAGGATATTAATATGTTTTTTGTTGTGCAGTTTTATTTCAGTTTAATCGCAATGTTGTCACTGTTCATTTCTTGTGCTTTTTTCCACGCACATGGTTTTTTTTTTTTAAAGATTTTATTTATTTATTTGAGAGAGAGGATGAGAGGAGAGAGCACATGAGAGGGGGGAGGGTCAGAGGGAGAAGCCGACTCCCTGCCGAGCAGGGAGCCTGATGTGGGACTCGATCCCGGGACTCCAGGATCATGACCTGAGCCGAAGGCAGTTACTTAACCAACTGAGCCACCCAGGCGCCCACGCACATGGTTTTAAATCACCTTTGCCAAATCTATCAGCCTTCCCTTTTGTGGTCTCTGCATCTTGCTCAGAATGATCTAACTCCCCCTCACTTTCTTTTGAGCACTTACTCTTTTGGACACTATATTCTAAGTGTTTTCATGTATCAATTCATTTTAGCCTCACAAGAACCCATTCTACTGATGAGAAAACTGAAATATGGAGAAATTAAGCTCTATAAATATCAGTTAAGTTTCAACAATTTATAGTATTGTTATATTTAATTATTAATGCATCTGAATTTTTAGTATGTGGCTTGAGGTAAGAACCTAACTATTGAAAAATTGAGAAATGTTTTTTAAAATCGCTGATGTGGACTACCTTTTTTATTATATAACAAAATTTATATATAACTGCTTGTATCCCTTTATACATATCAATTCACTAATTACACTGAATGCTTTATGCCCACCCATACACGGTTTTCTAACTGCTGATGAGTAATTTATGTTTAGTGCATTTCAACATACTTTTTCAAGGAGATTGTTTGGTTATCTATACTCTGCAAGTGCATCATTTTAGTTCTGACAGAAGGTGAGTGGTGAAGCCACTTTTACAGCTGTGGGAAGCCACAGAGAAGATTTGCCAGCAAATGCTTCCAAATAGCAACAGACTGAAAAGTAATGGAAAATGTTGGGAGTGGGGATGTTGTAACAGAGACAAGTCAGAACAAATAGCCTGAGGTCCAGAAAGCACATTACCACACACATAGCCAGGGGGCTGGGAGTGGAAGAAGAAATATTGACATCTTTGGTATAAAAAAGATACTGCCAAAAGAAAGAATCTTTTAACATAGAGAAAAAAGAATTTTTCACAAAGCTATAAGAATTGTTTGTTGTTGTTTTTTTAAGAGGCAAAGTGTAATGACCTTGAAGAAAGTACATAGAAAAACAATTCAGAGTGAAAGGGTCTAGGCCAGGTGAGAAGACACAGAGAGACCTTCAACAAAAGTTCACAAAATAGCCAAATAAAAAGGCAGTTTTCCAAGGTTGGATGATAACTGTCAATGTCTTCAGTACTATTCTGAAAGCTCCACGGGGATAGGCTAGTTAAAGGGCTGCTATCACCAACAGCCACAGAGATGAGCAGCTCTGAGCTGCTCAGGACAGGAGCCAGGCCCCACTAACACGCACGCACGTTAGGGCAAGCTGTCTGAACATCTCTGTGCCTCAGTTTCCTAACCTGTAAAATGCAAGGCTCACCACTTCATATGTGCGATATGCCACCCAGGAAGCATAGCATTTCCAGGGAAGTCGTAGGACTGCATTATATATGCAGGCAAAGCAGGAATGAGTCACGGTCCCACTGGGCTGCAGAAGACCTTGAGGACTCAATAATTAAAATCTCCATTTTGAGCACAGTTTGAAATTTTTATGACAAATGAGAGGTATGCATTAAAAAAGTATTTAAGCAATTTAACATGTGGCTGTTTAGGGCTCTTAGCATCCTGAGTTTTATTGCAATATTATAAAATGCAATTAGTTTTATTTCAAAAGTGAGCTATAAAGATATAAATAGAACTCTCTTAATTATTAGATCAGGCTTACATATGTTTCAACGATCATAAGTTTTTAGTTTGTTAAATGAAGAAGTGAAATAGGGGTTTCTCTTGCCCCCAGAAATCTTGCTGCTTATTTGCCTACAGCATCTCTTGTCACCCTTTAGATCTCTAGTGAGCTGTCCCCACCCCTTCAGAGCCTTCTGATGCCTTTTCTGCATCAACGTCTTCCTTTAGGCCTGCCCTGCAGGTAATAGCTGGCTACTCATCTCTGTGTCACTACACAGGCACAGAGGACTGAAGAAATAAAAAGATGAATATCTGACTGAAAACTGTCAAAACACACATGCAATTATTATTTAATAAAGGCAGAATTTTCAAACTGAACCTTGCCAAAAAGATGCAGAATCCTCAAATGCAGCAGACTACATTTTTTTTTTCCAGCAGACCCCTCCTGGTGATTTTTATACCCCTAGAAATGTGTCCACAGTAGAGCCTATAGAAAAACAAAGCTTTTGTTTCTGTCCATTGCCCAGAATTGTGGAGGAAGGTAGAAGGCTGCACCATGACACTCTTGACTAGCCATTAAAAGGATGCCCCAAAGAGACGAACCATGAGAGACTATGGACTCTGAGAAAGAAACTGAGGATTCTAGAGGGGAGGGGGTGGGGGGATGGGTTAGCCTGGTGATGGGTATTAAAGAGGGCACTTTCTGCATGGAGCACTGGGTGTTATATGCAAACAATGAATCATGGAACACTACATCCAAAACTAATGATGTAAAGTATGGTGATTAATATAACATAATAAAATAAAATAAAAAACTATTAAAAAAAAAAAAAGGATGCCCCAAAAGGCTACCAGTTGTGATGCTTCATGCTCTACACTTTTACCTGCTTTTCCCTGGTTTTTGACTCCAGACTTCTATGGACATATTCAAATTAACAACCATAAGAAAAAGGAAAGGGGCACAATGTTTCCTTGTAACAATTGTTTTTGATAAAAATACAGCTGATCCTTAAAGGAAATACAGTTGACCCAATAATGTAGGGGTTAAGGGTGCCAACCCCCAACACATGCAGTCGAATATCCATGCAGTCAATAACTTTTGACTCCCCAAATACTTAACTACTCATAGTCTACTGTTGAGTGGAAGCCTTACCAATAAGTAGTTGATTAGCATATATTTTGTATATGTATTATATACTATATTCTTACATTAATATAAGATAGAGAAAAATGTTATTAAGAAAATCATAAGGAAAAGTAAATACATTTGCAGTACTGGGCTTGTATTTATTGAAAAAAAATATCTGCCTATAAGTGGATCTGCACTGCTGAAATCCATGTTGCAGGGCCAACTGCATAAGAGGTACTCAAGATGCCTTCTAATGAATTCTGAAAGGTCTCTCTCCCAGCAAGGGACAAAGGATCTAGCCAGCCAGCTGAGAACTGGGTTTGTGCATCCTCTTCTCCCTTGATTTCAGGCTCCACTGCTTTCACTGGCACACTTCAGTCCCTCAGTTCAACCAGCACAAATAACACTAAAGCAGAAAGGCAACTATGATTTTTAGTTCTTTCACATTATTCAGTCAAATTTAGAAATATATCCTCTTGACAGACTTCAATTTAATACATAATTCAGAGTTATTTTGAAGAACTCAAACAAGTGTCTGAAGAATTGACAAATCTGCTGCTATGAAGAATGCAAATCAGGATCTTGGAGAAAAGGGCGTATTCACATAGACATCTTGGAGCTGGACTCATATTCCCAGGTCTTTTTCCCTACATCGTTCCTGCTCTTCAACTTGGTCTATTGGGTTGGATACCTGTATCTCTAAATGTTGCTATGGTGATGGCTGAAGAGCACTACGTTTCCCTCTTTACCTTTCACCCTTTGAGAAGCCACTTCTCAAAGTTTAAGAGTGATTCCTCTCATTTATGAGTGAACATAAGTCATCCCCTCTCCTTTACCTGCCCTACAGTCACTTTTCCACATCAGGAGGAGAGCTTGGGAAGTAGAAGATAAAACATTCCAATTGTACACATTTTTGGCTGTGACTCTTGATATGACAAGTGGTGTCTGGCCACCACACACTGAAAGCTAATTTTTTACATAAATTACATGGAACAAGAAGATTCTCTCACCATTCTTATATAGCATAGTTTTTACTGTTTACTACTTAAGTAAAAAACAAATTTATCTCTCCATATTTGAAAAGTACTGCTTAACACTTAAGGGTTTATATACAATATGTACATATTTACTCCCAATCAATCAAAAAGTAGGCAGAACAGAGACTTGAAATGGTTAATACACATCTGAAAATGTGCTCAGCCTCCCTCATCAATAAGCTGAGATATGCAAGTTTTGAAAACTGCACTGTACTCTTTTTGCATTAAATTTGCAAATATTGAATTGGCAGATTGAACTTTCAAAGATCAAACTGTCCAGTACAGAGATGGGGGATGTGTGGGAAGGAGCATGCCATTATTCTATTTATCTAAAGGACAGACGTAACATACACCTATTGCTTGATTCACCTTGGGCTGTTCTTATTGCATTTCATGATGATTTTTGTGTTGTTCTTGTTGCCTACAGAACTATTCTCTCCTCGACATGAGGCCACCAACACCTGCAATGATCACTTTAAACAATTCTGTGTACTGGCAGGAATTTGAAGATACCTGTGTCTATGAGTGTCTGGATGGCAAAGACTGTCAGAGCTTCTTCTGCTGCTATGAAGAATGCAAATCAGGATCTTGGAGAAAAGGGCGTATTCACATAGACATCTTGGAGCTGGACTCATATTCCCGGGTCTTTTTCCCTACATCGTTCCTGCTCTTCAACTTGGTCTATTGGGTTGGATACCTGTATCTCTAAATGTTGCTATGGTGATGACTGAAGAGCACTAGGTTTCCCTCTTTACCTTTCACCCTCCCCAGACCAGTAGTGACCAACTGCAGTAGGAAGGAAGGAACACTGCTCAGTTTATCGGAAGTTATACATTACCTTTGAGCAGTACAGGAGTATGTGGCAAATATTTCTATTATGTATTTCACACTCACACACATGTGTGCGCACACACACATTAATTGAATTTTAAAGTGATATTCTTGCTAATCCCTTATTAAATCTGTAGCTTGGTGATGTTTATGAATGGTTTTTGGATATTGGAAGCAGTTGCCAATTGTTGCCAAGAAACCTGTAAAACATGCAAGCAAATATCCAAGAAGATCTCTCAGGCCAAGACCCCTTCGATAACTTTCCTTTGCAGCCCTTGGATGTACCAGTGCCCACATTCGTGGAGCCACCGCTTGCTGGTACACACTCATGCCGACCTCAGCCCCACGTTCCTGGGCAGTCTGAGTTCAAACGTGAACTGCAGTGAGTTTTGACCCAGTTTCCTCTCCCTGTGGCCTCTTTTATGCTGGCACCATCATTGTTACTTAGCATTCCTTTATCAAATAATCTCACCCTAGGCTTGGGAAGGGTGTATATGCATCCACAAGTTTCCATATGAGAAAAAAATAGGATTTTAAAAATTCTCATGTTGCTGAATTCAATGATGTTTATTGTCTCTGAACATCAGTTACTACTTTATTCCAAACTACTGAGAGTCAGCAGTATTTTTACCTTTGGATTCTGGGACTAGTTCAGCTGGAGTTCAACATTTTACCTTAGTTGTGTTTTACTAGACCAAAACACTACCCCAGAGTATGCGTCTTGCTTATGTTATGCTATTACAGGGTCAGTGATTATCTTCATCTTACAAAGACAGATACATAGCATTCACAAGATTTTGTCTTGAAAATGTTTTCCAGAGTGTCAAAGAATTGTAGATAGAATTTAAAAATTTCTTAGGCAATATTAACTTTCAAGTCAAATCAAACTTAGATGCAAAAACAAGGGCAATGGCTATCATCAATGATATATTTTGATGAACAAAAATTATTTTATACTTTGAAATATGAATATGTAGCAAAATCCCAAAGAAAAAATCCCCTGAAATTATTACTCTTTTGATATTTTTATAACACAAAACTAACTTGCTTCTTGATGTTAGTTAGTTCTTTGTCATGACTGGATGCCAGTATGTACTTCACAAGACTCTTCAGAAGTTTCCCACCATTGATAGGGAAAAAGAAAGTCCTATAGTTCATTAGTAATGCTTTGGCATTATTAAAATTTTGGTACTAAAATTTTGGTACCAGTATCTCTGTGCTTCTCATTTTTCTCACCCAGAAAACTGAATTAATTTTATTGGAAACCATAAAATTTTATTTTAATTGTCTATTGTAAATATGATTATTACTCAGAAAAAAAGGTAAAATAATATACAGAGAGAATATATAAAAGTACTGATTTCACACAATTTACTGGATGCAGACCAGACAGAAGGGGATGGGAGTGGAAGAGGCTAGAAAAGCAAAATTAGATGAATCTGTTTATTTTTATGAACATCATTCATATCAAGTGAATGCAAGTATATTGGGATACGATCACCCAGTTTTCAAGGACTTAGTCTATAAATAGTGTGAGATATTCAAGCCCATTGCTTTTCTTCCTGTCAACTCCCTGCCATTTGATTTGATAGTTGCTACATAGGCCACAAGCCAATTGGGTTCGATCTAGCAAATTCAGCTTAAAATACAAAATAACAATAAATATTTGTGGAGAACCAGGTTGAACCTATTGGCTTAATAAAATTTCTACTCTACTGGAGAATTTCACCTCCTAGCATCCTTGTTCTGTTTCTTATGCATAAACCACCTTCTTAACCTGGCAGTGGTGGTTTGGAGGCACCCTGACCAAAGGAATTCCTCCATGTCCCACCAAAGCATTGAGTACCCATGGAAGGCGGCCAAAGGTCAGTCTTCTTCAAACATAATTTTCAATTTTATGAATTTATAATATCTAAATATGAAGAATTTCAACCCATTATGTCTTTTTAAAAGTTCTGGAGGGAAATGAACTTTCTAGTGAAATTCTTCTTGGAAGGAAAATAAACTTAGAACACTTTATAACATAAGTTTGGCCCAATTTTACCTTTAAAATTTTATTGATGCTTCTTGTTTCAAAGCCACTCAATATTTAGGTATCATTGCCAACTCTTATGAAATTATATATATAGGATATACGTATCAATAACCTGTTTTCTGAATCCAGCCATTCTCTTCTCCCTGACCTCAGTCATCCTGCTGATCTAAACACATTAGGTTATCATTCATTTTCCATGAAGGGAAACTTTCATCTCAAGAGAGTCTAATAGATGTTCACTCACAACATGTAAAATACATTTCTGTACATACAGCAATCTACCCACAATGGGTTCTGACTAAAAAGAACTCAGACATCTCCTCAGAACACATTAATGTCAGTGTCTCTGCAGGCTTGCCTGTTCAAGTTCTCTTTATCAATTTCAACTCCTGAGATGAGCCTTCAGTCCACAATAGAGGAGAGTGGCATGTACCTCATGCAGATGCAGAACTCAGGGGCTTGCTTATTAAGTATGTATGAGGTTACCTTTTGGAGAAAAGAAGAGGAGAGGCACAAGAAGAATGTGAGGGAAATGTATCACTCTTAAATTGAAGGACTCTCTTTCACCAGTATGCTTGGTTAGTAGGGTTTGTGTGAGGTGTATGGATGTAAGACTGTTCTGCACAGACCCAGCACCCTTACAGCTCTGCCCAGCTTGCTTTGCATTTAGACTGGAGAAATACTTTTGTGGTTTTGCGGCAACCGGTTGGGGAAGTTGTCTGAGTGACTGGTATCCTAAAGGTGCTACTGTGTTCCTTACTTTCAGAAATACTGTAAATTGGAGAAATGAGAGTTCTGTATTTTGAAAAGGATTTCTAATTTCTTACCACTGTGGATCATACTTACAACTGTGACTGTCTCTCCTGTAAGATGCATCCAGGTTGAGAGATAAAGAGAAGTCATTTCACATTAATGGAATTAGAGAAAAATGCCTCTTCAGAGCCTAGAAAGTACAGTCTGTACAAAGTCTCAACACCAATGAGCAGAGGAGAGATTCTCAGGTACTGGACAGAGAAGGAAAATGTTACTATAATTTACTCTGGACCCAGCCAATACTGCCCCTAATTTGCCCAAAATATGCCTTACAGTAACATATAAAGCTTATATCATACACATCTTATAGATTTTCCATTTCCTGTGATCACATGTATTTCATGCCAGGTTTTTTTTATTGTTTATGAATGGATGGAGACAGGATTTTCATTTTTTTATGTGCCAAGCAGTCTTATCCTTAATTGTCTATCAATCAGTTAAGAACACAGTTTTTGTGGCTTCAATTGGAAAAATGCTTGTTCTCCATGGCAAAGTATTTTCAGGCTCCATAAGGGAAATTGGAGCCAATCTAAAAGTCATAGAACCTTCACACCAAGTCTTTTTTACCTGGCCATAGCTTGCTGCAGTAAAAGTGTCTAGACATATTTTTGCTGCTCTGCAAAATATCACAGTCTGCAAGCAAAGGTGGGTAATTGACAACCCCATTTTGCATTAACAAATACTTGCCACAACTAGGAAGCAATGGGCACTCTTTATCTAAAGGGCTAGAAAACAAGACAAACAAAACCTCTTCTTCCTTGATCATTTTTATCTCAGCTGCCAATAACTGAGAACTTTCTGTGATTTACTTTGCAAACTTGAAGAATTATAATTGGTTTCCAACCATTATACTTATCACTATATGAGATCAATGTTCTCAAGACACAAAGCACCTTGAAATCTCTCCATATATGCAACTGTCTGCTTTTTCTGAGAGTTTATGAACTATATACATATGAAGTTTCATCATCAATTTCTGTAAAAAAAGAAAAGTTAGTGAATGACTTGGGATAAACATAGATATAAATATACATTGAAATGTTTATCATTAGTCTTGGGCTTCAGAACACTATTGTTTTTAAAATATTCAGAAGGGGGTCTGGAAGTAAGGAGGGGAAACAGATTGTAAATACACTGTAAATGTGAAATTCACAATTTTCTGTTGAGTCCCCTTCAAATTGCCCAAAATTGAGGAAGTATGCAATTTGTACATGTTTCTTTCTCTCAAATTTGCCTGTAGGAAACCTTCAGGTTCACATGGTTTAGAAGTACCTCCAAATTGTATAATAACATCCAAAGAACCAAAAAAGAACAATTCAGGCTAAATGACAAATCCCTTCTTGTAATTCCTTCTTGACTTACTTTTTACTTAAAAATAAATTTCTATCATTATAAGGAGAAAACATGTATATGTTGAGATAACAGGATAACAACTCAGACATTCATATCTCTGGGAGAATAAAAACTTGGCTTTTTAAAAATGTCTGATAGTTTTGAAGACTAGAGACTAGAGCATTTTGAATCCTCCTTTTAAAATTTCTTCTGATTACAAGTCAGCAATTCCAGGCTATAAGCCTGGTCTAGTTCTAGTAAAGTCAAAAGAGAGATTGTTCCCTACTGTTTTTTTTTTTTTTTTCAAAATGTCCTTTAGTTAAATGATGCTTTGGTTTTTAATGTTGGCAATAAAATACCTTAAGCTTCTTATTACTCTGCTCACATAAAAACCAAATTTTAGACTAGTTTAAATCAGTGTTAAAAATTAGTTGAATAGTCACTAACAAGTTTTCAATGTTTTGAGCTAATCAAGTAGGTTTTTCAGATTGTATAATATAGGAACATGAGCTAGAAAATTAGGAAGACCAAACACACAAACGTGCACACACACACACATGTGCACACACGCATACATACTTCCATACACACACATGCACATACACAAAGCAAACACTGCTTGAATGCAAGACATTCAGGTAATTGAAGGAAATGTAAATTGTTGTACTTGAATTATTCAGATAACAGCCTACTCTCACCACTTCATTTTTCTAATCTGTAATCACAACACAGTTTTCCAGCCCAGTGGATCAGCCCCACAAAGTGAGGGTGATAATGATTCCTGCAGGGAAGTAAGGTCCTCTATGTCTGTTGAACAGTTTAAACTCAACAGATTGGAAAGAATAGTGAAGATTGATTGTCAATAATAAAATCCCCCAGATTGAGAAGGTAGCTGCTATCTTTTCCTCTTTTCTAGTTATTTGGAGTTTCTTCTTTGTTTTTCCCACTAATCAGTTATTCACAATATAATTAAAGTTCCCAATTTCCATTAAAAGGTAGAAGTCCTAACTCACAGTCAGACTGATTTTCAGGAACAAATGACAAGAGCTTTGATTTGATTAGAATTTATTATAATAGTTTTTTATTATGCTCTGTTCATATTTATAAGAGCAGGGGTTTGGGGAGGTCAGTTTGTCAACTGAGTGAAAGCCCCCCAATACATAGAGTAATAGTTTAGTCACTTTGATGGGGAGATCAGACTGCCCCATCCTCTATCTAGCCATGACAGTCCCAGTCAACCCATCCACCATTTAGTTAACATGCCCCATTCCTTTAGTCCATGCACTGGCTAGTGCAGGGTAGCCCTGGAATCTATAGAAAAACTTTTAAAAGAAAAGAAAAAAACCTGCATTCTGAAGTAACTTTCAATTCAATTACAAGATAAGTAATGATAGAAAATTCACATAATTTGCTGACTAAATTTTCGAATTCCCAGCCACATAGGATAAGATTTTAGAAGAAATAAACTATGCTGCATCACTATAACCATCATCATCATCACCATCACATCACCATCATCACAATCACCACCATCACCACCATCACTATCATCACCATCATCACCATCACCATCACCATCACCATCATCATCATCTATATCCTTTTTCTTGTTCCATACTAGTCCTTAGCTATTGATCCAAAACAAAGGTTTAATGTTTTTTCCAAATCATAATGAAATTAGAACTTAAATTAAGAAGAAAATGGAGGGGCGCCTGGGTGGCTCAGTTGGTTGCGCAACTGCCTTCGGCTCAGGTCATGATCCTGGAGTCCCGGGATCGAGTCCCGCATCGGGCTCCCTGCTCAGCAGGGAGTCTGCTTCTCCCTCTGACCCTCCCCCGTCTCATGCTCTCTCTCTCTATCTCATTCTCTCTCTCAAATAAATAAATAAAAAATCTTAAAAAAAAAAAAGAAGAAAATGGATAAGTTTCATTTTAGTTTAAATATTAAATACACAGATCATAGCTTAAAATGTTGCTTTCCTAAAACATTTCCATAACTTCTCTGTATCCTCCCAGTTCTATCTACCCTTCTTCAGACAAAATTTGAAACAATTCCTTAGGAGAACACTCCACTTACTT